ATATATATATATATATATATATATATATATATATATCTTCTCTCTCTCTCTCTCTCTCTCTCTCTCTCTCTCTCCCTACCTCCCTCTTTATATATATATTATATACATATTATATATTATATGTATTACATATATATAAATGTAAATATATATATATTATATATATTTGCTGCGGGTGTCTCTCCTTTTCTGCTTCAGCTTCCAACAGCGGCGCGCTTTAGCGGCTGTGCAAATTCAAAAAGTATATAGAGGTTATCGATCGAGAAAACAGTACGTTGTTATTTCTCTGCTGTCTATACACCCCAGAATAGTCAATATATATATATAATTTAATTGTAATTAGTAGGTGAATATTAAAGAACACAGCACACACTAGAAAAGATAATAGCGGTATGTCTTGCTGTTAATTGTTTTTATTTTTTAATTATTTGTTTTGCTGCAGAACTGCGGCGATTATGCGCAAAGCAAAACTAAGCAAAATAATTGGACAGACAAGGAGGGTATGTACACCGCAAGTGCTGATTAATGAAAAGTTTAAAGATATTGCCGCGATTATTATGTTGCTCTTCTCTTGTGCTGAAGAAGCTGCGAATGCTGAAGCCGCTTTTGCTGTTTCTGCTGCTGTTGTTGTTGCTGCTGGCGTTGCTACTACTACTACTACTGCTGCTGCTGCTGTTGCTGCTGCTGCCGTTGCTGCTGCTGCTGTTGCTGTTTTTCTTTCTTGTTTGCAGCGAAATACCCTTTCAACCTCTTAGCATACGCTGGGTAGCACTAACAGCACCAAACGAAACGGATTAATGTTTTGCTTTTAATTTGTTTATTTTGATTTATTTTTTTCAGATAACATTTGCTGGAGTAACAGGTTTAAGATGGAAGAGAGCAGCACATCGGCGGAAAGAAGATAATGCAGCTCGTATTATTCAGGGCTTATTAAAAATAATTCGCGCGAAAAAGACTTTAGCAGAACTAAGAAAAGAAAAAGAAAGAAATATCGCTGCAACTAAAATACAAACAATCTGGAGGGGATATGTAGCAAGACTTAGACTCGCACTCATGAAATACTTAACCCCTTTTGCTATTGTTATCCAGGTAATTCTTTCATATTAATAATATATATATATATATGTTTATTCTTATAGTTATATGTGTATTCGATATAATATTAAAATATTATACTCGCATTTATGAGATTCTTGACGCGTATTGTTATTGTTATCCAATTAAATCTTTTCTAGTAAATATATTATATTTATTAATATATATGTCATATATATTAATATATGTATTATATATATATATATGTAGATGTTAATACATATAAAATGCAATAAAATATTAAAAAGACGAAATAATTAATTTAGTTAATAAATTCTTTTAAGTGCAAATTTGTATCAAATGCACTCATCAAGGGATAAAACAATAAAACAGCTTAATAAAACTAATTAATTAATTTAATTTATTAATTATTTTTAATGCGATGTTTATGAAATGTCTACAGAGAAGATGGAGAGGATATCGAGTGCGGCACAGCTCATTTTATATCAAGCATGCAGCTGTGTAAGAAGAAGAAAAATAATAAATTAAATAAATAAATACTAATTAATATAATCAATTTAACAGAATTTAATTTGTTCTGATTTATTTAAACTTATTTTATTAATTCAAAGTTAAAGGAAAGAAGAAAGACTTTTTTTTATTGCAATTTTATGTATGTAACGAATGCCGTTGTAAGTATTGTTACTTTATATTATTTGTTTTTATCATTTGTTTACTTTATTTGTTTATATTATTTAATTAAACTATTTATCTTAACGTCATTACTTCCTTCTCTTGTTTATTCAAAAGAATTAAAATAGTTTATTTTTTTTGCTACATCCTCTCATAAAATAAAACTGCATGCGATGAGATTAAATGAATAATATGGATAATAATGCATATTGATTATATTTATTCTGCTTTGTTTGTCTTATAGATTTGATAGAGTAAGAAAGGGGATAAGAGAAGATCAGGGCAGACTGCAATTACAAAGCGCTGTCAGAACTTTCTTGGTTTTACACCGACTACAGCACGTAACACAGGCTTCATACACCATGCAAAAGTAATGCAAATAACTCTAATTATCTTTATCTTTATCTTTTTCTTTTGTTTATTTTACTCTCTTCCTTCTATTTATCAGAAGGCGCGGTCTCTTGCTCTTCTCTTTCTTTTGATGGGTTTGTAGATGTGCTTAATTATATCTACGTTTAAATATGTTAAATGCATACATTAGAGTGCATAAATATAAATAAATAAAAAACTATATATATTTATATATATTTCTGTCTGTATATATGTATATAAGTATATATAATGGTTTAAACCTTGCGTCTTCTGCAAAACTTCTCTCCATAATATAATATTATATAATTTAAAATTAATATAATATAATATAATATAATAT